AGAGAAGTGTGTGGTGTGAGTCGGGGATCGTCCCAAGAGGAGTGGCGTCGGTTGACTAACCTAGGGAGAGGTTGTATCCGAGCACTTGAGGGAGACATGTCTGTGACCAACATTTGAGAGGGTGTAGAGTGAGATTGCAAGAGTGTTGATTATAAAGTTTTTGGTTCGCTAGAAAACCGATAGTATGAGGTGTATACGTTATTCGGGTGAACGTAGAAAACCCGTTGTGATAGTGGAGATCTCCTCGAGATGAGGAGCGGAGACGTAGGTCGTAGGGACCGAACTCCGTGAACATATCATGTGTTTGAGTTTGCATTGGCGCACTTACTCTTGTGTTTATATTTCTTATCGTCATTGTGCATTGCTCATTATTTTTATCATCCATTATCTTGTTTATTTTGTTTACCCTTGTGTATATCACTTATCCTAGCTCACATATCTTGTTGTATTTCATACTTGTTAGGATAACATGTTAATTAGTTTTAATTGGCATTAAATCGGATTAGATTAGCATAAGATCCTAATCACCCCCCATCTAGGGTCTAACACATAAATCTTAGTGTTCCTTCTTGTTGATTGTGATTGTTTTCTATCTTATTGACTGTGGGTTAGCTTCCGAGTTACGAAGATCGTAGTACGCGGAGAGACTAAAATTCCTAATAAGTTGTATCAGAGCCATGGTGATGAATCCGGGAGTTATTTTTAAGATTGAAGTCGTTGTCGTGTGAAATTGAAGGGCGTCGTTATAAGAATCAAGATGAAGAAAAAGAAGAAAATATTGTTCAAGTGGGTGAGGGTGTGGTTAAAAATTATTAAATCAAATCCAACGGTGCAAATTAACTTGTCTTCTGATAGAGGGTTTGGAGGTGGATTTCGACGATCTAGGAGTTGATTCACAAGTTTTGGAGTGATCTAAACACGATTGGATGATTTGATTTTTTTGGATTTTGCTCAGATTGGTCAGAAAGTACTAATAAGTTCTGATGGTGGTAACGAGACAGATCTAGGGCAAATAGGGCAAACAAGTATGTGACGAATAAGACTGGCGTAGAGAATCAGACATGATTCTAGCAGTAGAGTTGTCAGCATATAATTATTCATAGCCATCTCGGAAGCAGGAGTTGGTTAGTGTGTAGACTCAAGGAGGACAATGTCAAATTAGGTGGAGCTTGCAAGCAAACACGATTGAGTGACACACATGCTGATGGAGATGATAGTATTAGACTTGAAGACGATAAGCGCTCATATTCGGTTCAACCTAAGTGATGGAGGTGATAGAGGCATCCAACTTATAGAGTGGAGTAGGAGAGGTGCACCGATATGATTCAAGACAAGTGATGCAGGTAGAGTATGAGGAAGGCAAGTGGGGGAAGGCTACTTTCAAGCTCAGGTCAAGAGGAGAAGCATGGTTGATTTGCTTCTAATGTCAAAGGTGGCAAGATATCTTGGTGTACACAAGAGAGGTGGAGGCGTCATGGCAATGTAGATAATAGTGGGGTCATGAGACATCCTAGTTGGAGTGCATGTGTTCTGATTAGAAGTGTAGGTGCTTCGATTTGAAGTGCAAAAGAATAGAAGATGCTAGCGGGAGAGGCAAAGTTTCAGGATAGCGATGATATATCTTCAATGGAGTTTGGAATTAAATCTAAGGTGAAGATTGTTGGGATTATGTCTTTGATTCTTTATATAACTTCATGAGACTTAAAATAAGGTTAGAGATCTATCATGATTAGGAGATTATGTCTCATCATAATTAGGAGTTTTTATTATATTCTAATTAGGATGTTTGGATAGGTGTAGGGTTTTGGTTTCCCTATATATATTCTTCTATTATTAGAGGAAAAAAAAGGAGAATGAAGAGAGCCAATATTCTTATAATTTAGGGTTAGCAGAAGGCGTAGCCTGATTCAAATATATTGTGCAAGAGGCGAGAGTTTCGTGGTCCTTATCCGAGCAAATGATTATAACTTTAGGAGAGAGTTTCGTAATCTTTGTCTGTTCAAAAGATTGTAAGGAGTGGGTTTTAGAGAGAATATGAGAGTTGATTATATATGTGAGGTTGAGAGATTGAGAGATGGGAGTTGAGTGGTTCCTCTTGTAGTTCTTCTTGATTCATAGTGGATTTCTCGTATTATTGCCTTGTGGATATAGGTCGAAGTTGATCGACCGAACCACATAAGTATTGGTGTTCCTTCTTCTTGATTGTGGTTATTTTTTGTCTGATTGACTATGAGTTGACTTCTGACTTGCGTAGGTCATGTTACGTGGAGAGACTAAAATTCCCTAACAGGATTTCCCTTCGTTCAATATCTGATTTCTTATAGTTCATGTATCTTTTCTCACTGTCATTTACAACTAAAAATACTTTAATATATAAAAGTAAGAAATTAGTTTAATTACGCTCATGATAAAGTCTGATATATATAGACAATTAGACAGTGTATTTTATCTGCGAGCTGGTAATATTGAGTACTTGGACGTTGGACCTATACAAACTGGTATAATGGTGTCATCTGAGGATCTAAATACAAAAATTGGGTTTAATTACGAAACTTAAAAATAAAACATTATGTTTCATGCTCTAGTATTATCTGCAAATTTCATAAATAAGTAGCCAGAAAGCTAGAAAAATAGAATTTCTCTCTAATTATTTGTCGCCATAGAAGTGCCTTTGTTATGACGTCTATGTAGGCCTATCCATTTAGCCGGTGCCCGGCCGGGCCCGGGTTGGCCCGGAAACCCGGGTAGTGGTAAATTTTAGGAATTTGAAGAGGAGGTTAGTGGTTCAAATCCTAGCCACAATATATATATATTTAAAGTTCTTTGATTAGGCCTTGGGCCTCTTGGGCTCTTCGAATTATTAAAATATTTTTAATTTCTTTTGTTTCTATGAATTCTACAAGTATATATATGAGCCCTTTTGAATTATTCAATTATTTTTAATTTTCTATGTTTCTATGAATTCTACAAGTATATATATGAGCCCCTTTGAATTATTCAATTATTTTTAATTTTCTTTGTTTCTATGAATTCTACAAATATATATATGAGCCCCTTTGAATTATTCAATTATTTTTAATTTTCTTTGTTTCTATGAATTCTACAAATATATATATGAGCCCCTTTGAATTATTCAATTATTTTTAATTTTCTTTGTTTCTATGAATTCTACAAATATATATATGAGCCCCTTTGAATTATTCAATTATTTTTAATTTTCTTTGTTTCTATGAATTCTACAAATATATATATGAGCCCCTTTGAATTATTCAATTATTTTTAATTTTCTTTGTTTCTATGAATTCTACAAATATATATATGAGCCCCTTTGAATTATTCAATTATTTTTAATTTTCTTTGTTTCTATGAATTCTACAAATATATATATGAGCCCCTTTGAATTATTCAATTATTTTTAATTTTCTTTGTTTCTATGAATTCTACAAATATATATATGAGCCCCTTTGAATTATTCAATTATTTTTAATTTTCTTTGTTTCTATGAATTCTACAAATATATATATGAGCCCCTTTGAATTATTCAATTATTTTTAATTTTCTTTGTTTCTATGAATTCTACAAATATATATATGAGCCCCTTTGAATTATTCAATTATTTTTAATTTTCTTTGTTTCTATGAATTCTACAAATATATATATGAGCCCCTTTGAATTATTCAATTATTTTTAATTTTCTTTGTTTCTATGAATTCTACAAATATATATATGAGCCCCTTTGAATTATTCAATTATTTTTAATTTTCTTTGTTTCTATGAATTCTACAAATATATATATGAGCCCCTTTGAATTATTCAATTATTTTTAATTTTCTTTGTTTCTATGAATTCTACAAATATATATATGAGCCCCTTTGAATTATTCAATTATTTTTAATTTTCTTTGTTTCTATGAATTCTACAAATATATATATGAGCCCCTTTGAATTATTCAATTATTTTTAATTTTCTTTGTTTCTATGAATTCTACAAATATATATATGAGCCCCTTTGAATTATTCAATTATTTTTAATTTTCTTTGTTTCTATGAATTCTACAAATATATATATGAGCCCCTTTGAATTATTCAATTATTTTTAATTTTCTTTGTTTCTATGAATTCTACAAATATATATATGAGCCCCTTTGAATTATTCAATTATTTTTAATTTTCTTTGTTTCTATGAATTCTACAAATATATATATGAGCCCCTTTGAATTATTCAATTATTTTTAATTTTCTTTGTTTCTATGAATTCTACAAATATATATATGAGCCCCTTTGAATTATTCAATTATTTTTAATTTTCTTTGTTTCTATGAATTCTACAAATATATATATGAGCCCCTTTGAATTATTCAATTATTTTTAATTTTCTTTGTTTCTATGAATTCTCTCTCTATATATATATATATATATATATATATATATATATAAAGAATAATGGAGGTGAGCTGGCAGCTCACCTCTCCCCGTGAGCTGCAAGTGTATGACATGTGAGCCCCCTACTATATTTTTTAAAATTTTTGAGCATTTCGTTAAAATTATAATTTTGTCATGTTATTTTGAGTTTTTTTTCTATTTTTTGGAAACTTAAGATTTAAAAAAAATATATAGTTCATATGATACAAGATAGTTCATTATTATGCTTAGTACATTTGACAAGCTAAGATTAGATATGTTGATCATCAAAATTAACCTTAAGTCTATTAATTTAAGGATTAAACTGTTGAAATAGTATGACCAATATATATTCTGATATTTCGAATCCAGATATTTCAGGACATAACTTTATCTATAACTGTATTCTATCTAGTATAGATTTTACTAACTATAGCCTTATTTTTTTTTTTTTTTTTTTTTTTGTAAAAAATATCCTTACGTAGATATTTCCTAGGATATGAAATGTTTTGTGCACTCCTTTCGTACAACCATTGCTTGATTATACGTACGTTAACAACAAAATGGTAGGGATCTATATATATATCTTAGTTTCTGTACCAATTTCGAAGACGAGACCGCTGAATGCAGAGCAGCCGGGGCCTCCGTTGTGCCAAAGTATGAGAGGGTCCTCTTTAGGGTTCCTCTCTGACCGTATGAAGTAGTAGAACAGCTCCACGCCGTTCACCTCATCAACGCTTGCGTACCTATAATTTTTGAAGGTTAGTTACAGTGCTGAAAACTAATTAATCGATCGAGAAGAGGAAAAGAAAGGGAAGAAGAAGAAGAAGAAGAAGAAAACTGACCCGGTCTCGAGGTGGAAGGGGAGAGGTCCTTCGAAGCCGGGGAGATGAGTTATGGTCACTGCACAGAGAGCAGGAGATGAGAAGAGGAGCAAAGGAAGAAGAGAGAGAAGAGGACGAGCCATTAATTGCTCGTTAAGAACTCGAAGAAGCAGAAGCTAGACGAGAAGATGAGTTATGGTCGCTGTCTTTTTATGCTAAGTGGTTCCAGCTACAGAATCGTTGACTGTGATAACTGTCGTTTTTTAAACTAATTAAGTGGTTCCGGGCTTCCGGCTAAAAAACGCTGACTCAAATATCACACGACAAATTATTATTTGAGCTTTGCTACGGGGACCCAGAATATGGGACCAATAGGAGGGATAAGTGAGGTGTCCCCCTCCTATTGGATAATGAGTTGGCCATCATTAATGATGA